ATTTGATGGGGCTTATGAATGCAAAACCCAAGACCACCTGTTCTTTGCACACAATGAATAATACAAAGAAGAAAAAGAAGCTCACCTCATAGATATACAACTCCATTTTTATGGGTGTGGGTGTGTGGGGGAGGGGGAGTAAGGACTGTTGTGGGCTTTTTAGTGGAGTTAAACACACATTGTGTTGTAATTATTCCACATGGAAACAAAACACAACTGGGCAAGCCAAATTCTGACTGCCCCTTCCCACATTAGTTGCACCATGTTATCATGGACATTCAAAATTACTGGTGTTCATTTCTCCCCTCTAATGATCCCTGCCAGGTTAAAAACTATTAGGACACACTCCGGAAATGACCAAAAGCTTATTTTGCAATCAGATGGGTTTGCTCCTTTTCAGCTGATGTTCAGCGAGCTAAGCAAGGGCTGTAAGCACACATGCTGGATGGCCATATCCATGTGTTAACAACCATTCATTTTGCTGGCCAATATTGGCTTCTAGTTTAACTCCGATTTTCACAGGATGTTTGCTCTTCTAACTGAGTTGGACGATACCCATTCCAAAGGCCTCTCTCTATCATATTGCAATGTGGAAATTTTAAAAAGCCAAGATATAGTTTTGCCAGCAAAAAAAAAAAATCCACCCTGTTACAGTTCAAACTACTGACTAGTTTCAAATGCAGACTAAATTCAGTAACAAAATACAGGGAAACAGAGAGAAGCCAAGACTAGGAAGTGATGGGTATTGAACATTTCTACCAGATCTCTCCACCTGTTGTAGAGTATCAAACCTCATTTCGATTTGGAATAATATAATAAATGACCAAAGTATCCTAAGATGAAAACCTTATTCAAGCATTATTGCTTGAATGCCTCTAGAACATGGCCATACAGCCCGGAAAAACCTACAACAACCCATTATTGTTGTATCTACAAGCACACTCAAAATTTGCAGTCTTCTTTATTTGCTTCATGCCCTGGGGATAATGCTGTTTATGCCATTGGCCTAAGCTGCTCCAAAGCAGTTAGAAAAGTTGACCAATATTGTATATACTATGTGTGAATGTGTGTGCATTCCCTCTCTTTCTATCTCTCTCCTCTCCCCTCCCTGTCATTCCTTTCTTCCTCTATACAAACTCACTGAAGATCTACAAGCCATATGGAAGCCCATGCAGGAAGGCATCTCCAGTCATTTTAAAGCAATTAGCAGGGAATTTTCACTGGTCTTTAAACTCATTCCACATATACGAGCAACCCAAAACTTTTAATGTAGACTTGGCCATTTTGCTAAGAGGGAACTCATCTGTCTATACCTGTTTCTCACTTCTTAGCCTACCTTGAAACAATTTCCAAAATTTACCAGAACTGGGTCCTTGCTTGAAAGAACACCTTATTTTACAGGGAAAGATGAGGTACCAACCATTTTCAAATAAGACTACTTCAAGCATCATACAGAACACAGCCTGTGCCCAGAAGCATCACGTATCGACACAAAACAGAAGCTCCATGTCACCACGAAGTCTCCGGTAATTTTACAAACAGTGCTTTTGGGATTTCAATGAAGAAGGGATGGCTATGAAAATCCCAACCAACATCTCCCATGGCTTATGGCTACAGAAGGCAGACAAGGAGATAACTTTGCACTGGCCCAAAAATGCATATTCTGATCTAATTCAAGGTGTGCTAGATCCAAAGACTCTCTTTCCTCTTCCCTGTTTTCTTTTGTTTCTAAGTCAAACACATACACACTTTGAACAAGCATACATGCACAGGACTGTGTTGAAAACACATAATGTGGTGTGCTTCCAGCTCTTCCGCAAGTTTACTTGCGAAAAAGCCGCCGCGTTTCATCGGACTTTCCATCCAGGCAAACATGCATAGGACCACCACTTCAGTCCCCTGCCTTCCCCAATGCTGCCCCTTCTGTTTAAAATAATACATGTAACACGCTCCTAGCCGACTCCCCCTCCTCTTCACAGAGCTGGCGTACAAAGAACTGGGATTCTTTCCTTATGAAATATTGCAAGGGAAGGAGCCAAGAGGCTGATTTCCACGAAATTTAAACCTAACCTCTCCTCCAACCGCTTTGCCCCTTCCATTGTTTACTTTTCTTCCATCCTTCCATCCATATCTCAAAGGCTGCAGGCAGATACCTTCAATCAATCAATGCATTTACCTATCTATCATCTATCTGTTACATATCATGAATCAAGAAACCTCTCCCCCTTCCTTCATCCAAACATCCAAGTTCATACATACATGGTGAAATCGGTGAATTCACATAGCAGCCTGGACTGGAAAAAAAACCCACTTGAATATATATATAGTCTAAAAACAACAACAACTAATCAACATCTATACAGTACAGAGATCTCTCTTTCTTTCCAAAGAGTTTGCTCTCCCATCCCTTGACTAGTATTTTCCCTGCCTTGTAGTGGAAGCTTATGCCACCAGATGTTTCTGCGAGATTTCATTTAAAGCTAAGAAAAATTGCTTTGAGCTACATGTTGTATTTTTTTTTAATCCGAGGCTTGCTTCTTATTCCATGCACACACACACACACACACACACACACACACACACCCATCTCCCCCCTTCAGTAACAAAATAAAAAACCAAAACAAAACCCAGTGTGGAAGACAGGCATGGAAGGGAGGATCGGGAGGGAGAAATTGTATTTCTTTTATTACGGTGCGACTTAATTAACTATAATGCATTGTTCCTACCCGCGACTACGAAACCATCAGCCTATTGAGAAGTGGGAATGTTTACCAGTCTGTCTCTGAGCAAAGCGAGAAAGTCCTCAGAGACCGATCGGTTAGGGGAAAAAAAATATCACCTTATCCAAATATTAATACACCCTCCCCAAACAATGCACCCCAAATGCCTCCCCAAAACACCCCCTAAGAGCTGGGATTTATAGGTTGCTATTAAGGATCCTTGGAAGGGAAATAGGAGCATTTTTTTTTTGTTTCCAGAAGGGATGGAGTGAAAGAAAGACATTTTGGGGCTTGCTATTGTTTTGCTCCATCCCTCCTTCCTCTTCCCCTTCCCTTTCCCATCCACACACCCACCCCAAAGGTCTGTCTCTCTATCCGAATGCGACTGTATCCCAGAGATGCCATAAAGGCTCCAAGTAGGGAAGGTAAGGGACGAGGGAAATAGCAGGCAAGATGTTTTGTTTTCAAAATCATAGTCATAATCATAATCATCATAAACCCTGTGGTCAAAAACAAGGCACCCAAGAAGAATGGCAACGCAACACCGACACATATCAAGAAAGTGCACACAAACCAGTTCACAACAACCACCACAACTGTCACTAATAATCATAGCACCACCACAACAAGAAAAAGACCTCTGTTCTCCAGGTTGGCTCCGTATCTGTAGTTCTTTTATTAGCAATGTTTTTAGGAGGAGGGAGAAGAAAAGGGAAGAAAGAAAGAAAGAAAGAAAGAAAGAAAGAAAGAAAGAAAGAAAGAAAGAAAGAAAGAAAGAAAGGGCAGGAAAAAGAAGGGATGGGATTTGGATCAAGAGATGGGTCAAGAGAGAGAGAGGACTTGGCTTTTTAAAAAATATATAAATATATTTTCCAATAAAAATGCCAGCATTTTTTTTTTGGAGAGGGTTGGTTGACTTTGGGAGGGGAATCTCTCTCTCTCTTTCTCTTTCTCTCTCTCTCTGCCTTTCCAGGCAGACAAAAGGCTTTCTCTTGCAGAGAAGAGGGGGAATTTAAATAAATTGGAGAGAGAAAAGGAAGGGAAAAGGGGGGAAGGGAGAAAGAGGTGAAGAGAAACGAATGCAAGGTAGTAAATAAATAAGGGGGGGGGGGAAGAAGGAAGCAAAGAAGAGAGGAGAAGGAGGAAGAAGGAAGGAAAAGGAAGGGAAAGAGGAGAGAGGAAGAAAGGAAAGAATAAAGAAAGGAGGGAGGGAGGAGGAAGGAAGGAAAGAAGAAGAAAAAGGGAGGAAGGGAAGAGGAGAAAAGAGGGGAAGGGAGAGAGGAAAGAAAGAAGGAAGAAAGGCAAGAAGGAAAGAAGGAAGGGAGAGGAAGGAAAGGAGAGAAAGGAAGGAAGGAAGGAAGGAAGGAAGGAAGGAAGGAAGGAAGGAAAGGAGGGGAAGGGGAGAGAGGAAAGAAAGGAAAAAAAGGAAGAGGGAGGAATGAAGGAATGAAAGAAGGGAAAGGGGAGAGAGGGAGGGAGAGAAAGAAGGAAGGAAGGAACGAAGGAACGAAGGGAGGGAGGAATGAAGGAAGGGAGGGAGGGAGGAGAGGAGAGGAGGAAAGGAGGGGAAAGGGAGAGAGGAAAGAGGGAAAGAAAGAAAGAAAGAAAGAAAGGAGGAACGAAGGAAGGAAGGAAGGAAAGCAAGAAGGAAGGGAGAGGAAGGAAAGGAGAGCAAGGGGAGAAGAAAAAGAAAGAAAGAAAGAAAGAAGGAAGGAAGGAAGGAAGGAAGGAAGGAAGGAAGGAAGGAAGGAAGGAAAGGAGGGGAAGGGGAGAGAGGAAAGAAAGGAAAAAAGGAAGGGAGGAGGAAAGAAGGAAGAAGGAAGGGAAAAGGAGAGAGGGAAGGAAGGAAAGAAGAAGGAAGGAAGGGAAAAAAGGAAGGAAGGAAGGAAGGAAGGAAGGAAGGAAGGAAGGGGGGGAAATCCTGCAAAATGCAACCGCTCCCCCTTGGCCGGGCTCAGGGCTGCCACAATAGGCATTGCCTGCCTCTCTCTGTCTGTCTGTGTCTCTCTCTGCCTCTCTCTCTCTGTCTCTCTCTCTCTTTCCAAGAGCCATGCGCCTGGTGCTATTTATAGAGGGAGCCCGAAGTGGACGCGACCATTGTGCGGGCAGACGGGGGTGTGCTGGGGGGGGCGGTGGTGGGGAGGGCGGGGGCGGGAGGGGAGGGGGCGCTCGGGGCCGGGAAGGATAGCGCGAGGCCCCCCCCCCCCGGCCAGACCCCTCCCCCTCCCCCCCCGCCCCCCGCCCCTCCCTCCCCCTCCCCCTCCCCCCCCAGCCTGGCTGGCATGTTGAACCGACCCAGCCTGTTTAAACGGAAAGGACAGAGATCCTAGCTGTTCAATGTATATAAAAAAATCAGTTCAGACCCAGAGAGAGGGAGAGAAAGAGAGAGAAAGAGAGAGAGAGAGAGGGAGGGAGGAGGGAGAGAGAGAGAGAGAGAGAGAGCGTGTATGTGGGAGAGAGAGAGAGAGTGAGTGTGTGCATGTGTGAGTGAGTGTGAGAGAGGAAGCGAGAGAGAGAGAGAGAGTGAGAGAGAGAGGGGGGGTGGTTGGGCACACAAAAAAGGAAAAAAGAAGAATTTGGTCTCTATGTATATAAAGATGGCCACGTTAGCCAACGGACAAGCAGACAATCCCAGCCTCGGTGGCAACCACACTAACCCCAACCCCAGCAACGGGCACATGAACGGATTAAACCACAGTCCAGGGAACGGCACCACCATCCCCATGAAGGACCACGATGCCATCAAGCTCTTCATTGGGCAAATCCCTCGCAACCTGGACGAGAAGGACCTCAAGCCGCTCTTCGAAGAGTTCGGGAAGATCTACGAACTGACGGTGCTGAAGGACAGGTTCACCGGCATGCACAAAGGTGAGACCCCCGCCTCAACTTTCCCCCTTCTTCTGCTTCTCCTTCTCCTTCCTTTTCCTCCTCTTTGGAAGGAGCCAGGGGAGAGGAGACCCCTCCAAGAGTGTGCTGTGGGGCTGGCTGTTGGGTGCCCCTTGTCTTGGGGTGCTGTGGGGCGTGGAGGGGAGGGCAAGGGGGCCCCAAGGAGAAGGGAGAAGCCAAGCAAAGTCCAGGAAGGGATCCCCAGGAAGGGAGGCAACGCGGGGCTGGAATGGCTTCAGGAGCAGGAGCTGTCCAGGCGCCGGTGGTGCTGAAACGCCTTGCGGGAGCCTCCGAGGCGAGTCCAGGCAAGCGAGCCAGGAGCAGGAGAAGGGAGAAGCCACCTCTCCCCACATCTCCTTCCTGGGAGTGGGGGAAGACTATTTCCCCCTCTTTTTGCGCCTATTGCAAAGGCATGGAGAGGGGACTACGAGAGGGAGATTGAGCCACCTGGATGGAAAGAGCAAGAGAGGGAATTTGGAAAGATGGGGAAAGAGAGAGGCTTCCAGGGAGTCTATGTCACTGGGGGATCTGGAGAGAGGTTTTGAGGGAGTCTATGTCACTGGGGGATCTGGACACAGGTTTTGAGGGAGTCTATATGACTCTTCCAGGCACTTTGAGGCAACCAAGGAGAAGGGTTGGCTCTGAAAGGAGGGAACTTTCTCTTGATTTCTCTGCTTGCCCTGGGACAAATCTCCTTCTCCTTTTTTTGAATGTTGGGGTACATCAGAGGTGGAATTGGGGGGTAGGGTCTCTTCCCCACTCCCTCCCCCTCCATCCTGGGCTTCTCTTTGGGCGTACATTGAACAGAGAGGAAGGAAACCAAGGAGAAGGGTTGGCTCTTAAAGGAGGGAACTTTCTCTTCATTTCTCTGCTTGCCCTGGGACCCATCTCCTTCTCCTTATTTTGAGTGTTGGGGTGCAGCAGAGGTAGATTTTGGGGGGTAGGGTTTCTTTCCCACTCCCTCCCCCTCCATCCTGGGCTTCTCTTTGGGTGTACATTGAACAGAGAGGAAGGAAAGAAGAGCTTTGAGGCAACCAAGGAGAAGGGTTGGCTTTGAAAGGAGGGAACTTTCTCTTGATTTCTCTGCATGCTCTGGGACCCATCTCCTTCTCCTTATTTTGAGTGTTGGGGTGCAGCAGAGGTGGAATTGGGGGGTAGGGTCTCTTCCCCACTCCCTCCTCCTCCATCCTGGGCTTCTCTTTGGGCATACATTGAACAGAGAGGAAGGAAAGAAGAGTGTGAGTGTATGTAGGCATGCAAAAGGTATTGATCGCTTTGGATGAAAAGTGGGACCAAAGTTGGAGGCGATGGATTGAATATACAGCGGCTTAGCATATATGGAGATAATTCAGTTCTGGTGCTGAAGAGCTGAACTTCTTTCTTTCTCCTCTTCGGTTGATTTTTCTCTCCCTGCTTTGTTTTGCTTCCCTTCTGCTGAGGGAAAGACCCCAATGCATCTGGACAGTATGGGCTCTTGGTGTGTCATTAAGACAGAACTTGGACAGGGACTATGAAAAATAAGGAATTTTGTGTGTGTGCAAGTAGGGAAAAGATCCAACAGATTTTCCTTCCAAGTTGGAATCTCAAGCAACCGATGATGACAGAGTTTAGCAAAGTCCTATTCTGGAGTCTTTCTATCCAACAATAAAGTGAATGGCAGGTTTTCGTGAATCCGATACTATGACTCCAAATCCATGAGGGGGGAAATGCAAATAGAAAGCTATTTTAAATAGGAGAGAGGAAGAGTGGATGTTGAGGGGGAGGGAAAGTAATGGGGTGTGTGTGTGTGTGGGGGGGGTATGTCCATTGGGGATCCTTTCCACCGTCGCTCAGTACAGTTTCTCCTCTGGACAGTCACTACAATGCCAAAACAATTATTACTTTATTTACAAACCCATTCATTCAAGCTTTCTACAAATCATTTAAAGAGGGTGGGGTCGCTCACAGAGGAATAAGAGAGTTGGAGCTCTTTAGTTTCACTAGCTTTGGGCTGCGCTTTTGGGAGATTTCATTGTTCTTCCCCTCCCTACCCCAAACACGGAAAGTTTCTATCAAATTCTGTATATATGCACATTTTACAACCAGAGAGCAGTTCATAGTGGGGAAAACAGGAGAAGAAGATGCATGTACTTTGGAGATTTATTTTTAATTTAGTCTAACACTCTTTTTATTGCAGCATTTTAGGGGAAAAAAATATCAGAGTCATAAACACATTGCATGATCACACCCTAGTGATATAGTTAGTTACTGGATAAATAAATGAATCATGTAATAGATAGAGAGAATTACCTTTCATCGAGCTTTGAGGAGCCAGGAGTTAACACTCCAGCTAAGAAAGAAATGTATTGATTTTATTTATTTATTTGCCCTGGTTTCATTTTTGACTATTTTATTGTGCGTTTCATGTGACCGGCCGAGCTCTCTAGGGGTAGCATGTATGTATTAGAGAGATAAATTGAACTATGTGGTATTGGGTCTGTCATAAAACGTATGGGACATGAGCTTTCCTTAAGATCTCCATGCAATCTCCGGTGTTCAGAGTTACCTTTCCGGAGTTGGGCTCACTTAGGGCAAAGACATGCTTAACTTTCACTTCACTGCGCTTCGCTACATTTGAAAGCGAAACCCTACAAACTATCCAAATGTCAATGTGCAAGCAATTTGCTTTAGTGCAAGAGTGGTTAGTAACCAGGAGCTTGTGTATAGAGCTGAGAGAGTAACGGAGAGCTACCAAACCAACCCGGTCTCTCTCATTATTTCTATGGCATGGTTGGAGGATTTACTGTGGTTTCCAAAGGCACCCAGAGCGAACACACTTGGCCTTATTTATCCCATCCGAGAAGAGCTTCAACTCCTCTGTCGATGACACAGATTTATTAACTAATCCTTATAAAAATGTGCCCCTGGCTACCAACTTGCCAGGGGTGGGGGATTTGCATGCCACTGGTGATTAATTACTGTAAAGTCAAAAAAGCATGACAGGGCTTTGAGAAATAGGGTCATATTTAGCTTATCATCCCCTCTCCCTATCTCTTGTCTCAAATGGCCTTAAATCAAGAAGTAGTATAAAAGAAAAAGGGGGAGGAGAAAGTGGAGTATATATTTTCTTTATTTCCTCTTTCCTTCCCTCCCTTCTTCTCTTTTTCTGCCCCGTGCCTACATCCACTAATTCAATTTGTGTGCTGTATAGTAGTATAGAGAAGCGTGTTTTCTCTCGGCACGACGTTAAGCAGATGATACCTCTAGTAGTTTTTATTCATAGATCTAAGCAGGTATTTGTCTCTTTAATGTAATTAAGGAATGATTGTGTGCCTTGGTTTTGTGGATGGAGATTGCAAAGAACCTTTGTGAATTGTTGGACTATCATGATTCAGGGCTGCAGGTAACTAGTACTATCTAGTTAGTGACATCGAGGTGTAACTCTGCATGTGCATGTGTTGGGTTTGTTATTTTGGTCTGGTTAACGATTCCTACATGGTTACTTCAGGCCACAACATTATTCACAGTTACCTGGGAATGAAACCTATTGTACTCAGTGGAAGTTTCTTCTAAGTAATCGTACAAAGAGTTGCATTGCAAGTATCTCAAGAGAAATCCTTAATATTAACTAGTGTTTAAAAAACATGAAACAAAACTCCACTAATATGAAACAGAACTCCACAATCCAAACTCCTCATCCAAGTATTAGGACGGTAGATGAATTGTATGATATATGGAATGTCCTGACAAAAATACTATCTATATACTAGTTTGTGATTCAGATTAGATTTTTATTCTCGTGTTATGTGCTTGTATTGTTGCTATTTCGGAAGAAAGTAGGTAGCTGAGAAGAAAGGTGGTCCATGCTGAGATTATGTTCATAGTTCACCTAAATCTTTGAGAGTCAGGAAACTGGGAGGCAAAAAACCACCCCCACCCATTTCTTGAAAGATGCATGCAAACATGCAAAGGAAGTCAACTCATCACTGACCATTCATTCATTCACAATTCCACCCTCTCCATCAGTGTAGCGTAATGGAGTCCGTTCAAGGTCTGGCTTACTTAGAGGGTTTAAGGTTAGTGCTCTCAGAAGAGACATATTATTAAGCGTCATCTTTGGAAATAATTTAAGATCAATTAAGTGGCATTTAAGCCTAATATTTATAAATGAATGGAATGAAAACAGAAGACTGTCCCAAGTGAATTTCAGAGTATTTTCCGCTCTACCCGTCGTTGATTCATACCCAAGGCCCGCAGTGCACTTTAACAAGATGTGCCAGCTTTTCATCATATTCTTCCTAGGAAAGCAAGCAAGATCTTGTTAGTAAGATGTAGCAAAAAACAAACAAACAAGCCAACATGGGCTAGAATGCACTTAAAAGAGGAGAGTTGTGAGAAGGATGATAAGCGAGGAGACATTTGTTACCCTGAAAGATAGCATGTCCTTTCAAACCTCATCTAAGCAACACAGCTCATGCAGAAATGTCCCCATCCATCACCAAGGCGGTGGGATGTGGCCTCCCCCACCACAAACACCACCAATAAAAGGCCAAAGCTAACAAATCCAATAAGAAAACAGAGTCATAGGAGGGGAGAAGAGTTTGTTTCAGCTGTTGAGTGTTATCTCTGCTCAGGAACACAGGTCATTCTCAGACCTCAAAACACCTGGTCTTCTAAGTCCACAAATTACCCAATTCAGGATAGTCTCTTTTATTAGAAAAAAGCCTGAGTGAGAAAGACAGATGTGAATTAAAGCTTTGTTCAGCCTCGGTACAATATCAGTTTTCAGGTTAGCTGTGAGATTTAGAAGTGCAATGATTGTTAAATTAAGATGCACTGTACGAAGCGATAAAAAAAGACTTGGGGAAATGAAAATGTACTCAAAAAGGGACACGGCTAAATACAGGTGTTGAATAAACGCCTCCGTAATCGAAACACAAGGCTTGTGTGACTGAAAGCAACACCCTTTGTCTTTAGGAGGGTTGTAATCCTGATCGAGTTTC